GGGTGGATTCACGAGGACCGAAACCAGGACCGACCTTCCATGAAGAACCATCCCAAGATAGCACTACCTAACTAGTGCGCCCTTTGAAATTTGATATTAGAAAATAGGAGGCTATATTATATATAGGGTGCAGTTTGTATAGAACCAAGGCTCTAAACAATCAAAGTAAAACACACCTTCAAATAATGTTGAGAAATGTAGTTTTAATACTGAAAATCTTTATGATAGTCTTAAAATATATTTTCATCTTTAATTATAAAATTTAAAGTTAAAAAAACTAGTGTAGATCAAGCATATCTATAAAAACTTGAAAATCTTGAAAATTAACAGTCCAAAAACGCGTTACAAGATGCACTATTTCCAAAACTTGAAATCCATTTTTTTTATCATGTCCATGCTTCTTGATGTTCAGATGATCAATTTGAGGATATTTGGGCATCATAACTGCCTCTTCTAGTGAAAGTTTTGAAGTGGGCTCTAATTTGATTGTTTAGAGCCTCGACATATTTGGGCATCATAACGCTTTACAGTTTACACTATATTGTTTACCGTTGTTATCACATAACAAAAACAAAATATTGATTATTTGGTCCTTTAGTCACTCTCTGCTTCTCATTCATCGGTAAAAGACTATGTTTTGAGCTCTAATTTGTGCCATAAATAGTATTTTCATAAAAACAATTATCACAAAAATCTACATGTATATAATTGTCTTTACACATGATTTACTTTACAAATGATTTGCTATAAATAGCATTTCATTTATAACAACTGAAATCTGTATCTGTTTGTTTAAGTTTTAAAAAAAAGGAAAAAAAAATTCATACCTTCAATCTGCAACTGTAGCTTTGAAGAACACAAGGGGGATAAAACCTTCTATTTTAGTTTTTTTTAAAATAAATTTTTTTTTTCAAAAGCATGAAAGTAGCAATGGCTGCAATACACAAAACAAGAAAAAAAAAAATCTTTTAGAAAAAAATTATAGGTAAAAAAAGATATGATTTTTTGGCATTAAATTATTATGAAAAAAGCGCATTTTAAACGTTTTTATGAAAACTACGCTATTTTTTCCCCTTATTTTCAAAAAATCATTGTTTAAAACTGTTTTTTTTGAAAAAATTATCGATTAAATGGCGATTTGCTAACTATGGATCTAACACAAGGTGTGTTGTGCCGCATTATAGGCGTGTGAACAATAGAGAGAAAATGAGGGAGGGTAGAGAGAGAGATAAAGAGAGAGTGAGTGTAGAGAGCAAAACGGTGAGGGAGGGTAAAGAGAAAAAGAGTGAGGGAGGGTAGAGAGAAACCAGTGGAGAGATTAAAAAGAGAGATGTCTGGTGGAGAAAGAAGAGCAAGTGTCATGTGAGGTCTCTGACTCCATTTTCACCAAAGGGGGGCCTAAATCCCCATTGATATGCCACTTTTGGGAAAAAGGTCGATAGTAGTAGTAGCACCCCATACTCTCTAGTCACCACGTAGTGGTTTCCATTCCCACCACTAACACTACCCCACTAATACCTTAAAAAAAAGGTAACTCCTAATCCGTTAAAAATAGATAGGGGTGGTTTCCATTCCACCACTAACACCACCCCACTAATACCTTAAAAAAAAAGCTAACTCTTAATCTAGTTAAAAACGGGTATGGGCATGTCTTCCCTACTGAATTACCCCAAAATCTAAAAATTATAGGAGAAGTATTAAGAAGAGTATTTTGGTCTCAAAATCAATAGACTATTTGACTGGGGGTAAATATAAAGAAAAATAGTATTAAGGTTTAGGGTATAATACAAAAAATATTGTGGGTAAGATGAGTAGAAAGTTGAAATTGGGAGGTATCTATAATTTTCTTAAGATTAAATTTGTATAAAAGAACAATGGAAAAATATTATTAAGTGCAAGGCTCTAAATAATTAAATTAGCCGCAGCTCAAAATTTTCACTAGAAGATGTCATTTTGATGCCCAAATATCCAAATTGATCATCTCAACCTCAAGATGCATGATATGAGAACAAAATAGATTTCAAGTTTTGAAAATAGTGCATCTTATATTGTCGATCGTCGATTTTCAAAATTTTCAAGTTTTCATAGATCTGCTCGGTCTATACTATTTTTTAAGTTTTAAATTTTACAATTAGTGATGAAAATATATTTTAAAGTTATCACAAAGATTTCCAACATTGAAACTATATTTTTCGATACTATTTACTCGGCTATATACCAACTGCATCCAAATATAATTGAGGGGCTAATGGTATTAAAGTTTTAACCTAAAAGTACAAGGGAGTTTGAACCCAAACGTCTAATGGGCATGGAAATTACGTGGTGGTGGGTAGAAGTCATTTTCTAAAAATATATTGCGTTTGACAATTTGCATGAAAATTTGCGAATATGTACTTGGTTGAACATGGAATTTTGTAAACATGAATATTTGGAAAATAATCAATTTTAATTGTTCATTATATTTATTTCTGATGAGGGGTTCATTTTTTTAAAATGAACGAGAAGTCGAATTCATAGCTCATCAATAGGTTTAACAAAAAGAAAAAACTTATATAAGGTTGCAAATTTAATTGTACAAAGTTGCAGAAATTTACATCGTCTATTTTATTTAAATAATACAAATATGACATTATCGTAAAAGATGTCTCTTTTGACAATATCTTGAAAGATAATGTCAAATCACACTTTAAGATTATGTACAAAATTGTAACTTTATTTCTACAAACAAGGTTACTACATAGCTAGCAAGCCTCCATTTAAAACACAATTTTTTGAAATCTGTAGTGTTTTAAAAGATCTTCAAAAAATCATTTTTAATGGAACCAATATAGATATGTATTTTATCTTTTTAAAAATAGATTATTCTCTATAACTTTATTTCTTCATTAACTAAATATTATTAAATTTTGGTTTAAATATAAGTATATTAACAATGAGAGTAAATTAAGAATCTTGATTTAACAAAAAATTGCATAAAAAGTTTAACCATAAAGTTTCCTTTAGAAAAGTGTACCAAAAAATACAAGCAATATATTCCCCCAAAAAAGTATCTAAACAATCATATATCTCAAAATAATAGGTAGAATTAGAAGAAGAGTAACCCAATGAATTATTTTTTTAATCCATAGCATAATTGTAAAGAGCAAGAGAGAGATTGTAATGATACTAAAGATTTAGGCAGTTAGGAATCTAGTGTGATTCGAATTTGCTTAAGCATTTTGTTTTGTTTTTTTTATGCAAAGAGAAGTTCGATTGATTTTGTGTTTTATTTTTTATTTCATTGGTATATACAGTATGGCATTTTGGATGGACCACTATTTTACATAGTTGGGTTTTAGTGTTTTCTTTTAATTAACTACAATCCTATATTGACGGAGTTTTTTATTTTTTGTTTTTCCTTTGAAAATAATCCAATAACTTTGGTTCACAGTTTTTAGTATTTGCTTCTTAGTTCTTATGTTAGTATCGTTCTTGTTATTTCATTTTATGCTCCCAATAAATCTACGATATGTTTTGTACTCTAACAACAAAGTAAGCATTGTTGCTAGATTTATTGAAACTGTCAACAAAAAATTGTCAAGTATTATTCTAATGACACTAGTAAGGCTATAAAATAATTGTTTAATAGCTTTAATATATCTATGCAATAGCTTACAAATCATAATCCTATATAACGTATCTTTACATATCTAATTTTTTTGCTACATTTTTTTGAACCAAATCCAAGATATTCACGATTCTATGACTTACTTTAGTTTTTGGAGATCCATATTTTGCTACCCAATTTTTTCATTCAACTTTTTGAAATAAAACCGATTTATTAATTGATATTTTGATTTACTGATATTTTATTATTGCCTGACTTGCTAACTAGGGTCTAGAATGGGCAAAGTTTATATAAGGGTGAGGCCCTAAACAATCAAATTAAGGCACACCTCAATAATTTAAAATTCATTAAAAGAGGTTCTTTCAATGTTGAAAAACTCTTAATTCAATCATCTCGACCTCAAGATGTATGGACATCAGAAAAAATAAATTTAAAATCTTAAAAATAATGCATCTTATAATGTATTATCTAAACCGTCAAATTTCAAGATTTTCAAATATTCATAGATATGCTTCATTTACACTATTTTTTATCTTTAAATTTTATAATTATTGATGATAAACTACTTTGATTATTCAGGGCCTCATCCTTGTACAAACTACATCCTTGCAGATTTCATCCAAGAAAAAGTACCATATTGAGTTACACTGGACGATATTCTAGGCGAGGTGTGTACATGAATGAAAGGAATAATTCTATCAAAAAGCTCTCCAGTTTTCAGAATCACCATTCTTGTTGGAGAAGTTATCTCGTAGAATTAACAAATATCTCCTGATATTCAGAGCAACAATCTTTGCTGGAAAATTATATCATGGATTGCATAATGAGAGTTGGAAAAGTGTGCGATACGGCCTAATGTTTTAGTTCTATTGCTTTCTTATCCCCTCTTTAAGGCATATTTGCTACTTCGAGGGGCACTTCTATCATTTTTAGGTTAAGATGTTTATATCCATGGCACTCAGATCAAGATGCTAAGTCTTTATTGTGCTTAAATGATCCAAAAAAACTTATTTTTAGGGCTCGGAAGACTCATCTGGGTTGAATCAACCTGGCAGATTTCCAAGTACTAAAGGTGCAGGTCCTGAATCTTTGAGTTTTACCCAATTTTTTGGGCTGGGACTAACTAGCATTAGTTTTTATCTTTTTCCTCGATTTTGTAAATAAAGTATTTCTAAAACTTGAATAATACTAGGCCACTCGACTCAGCTCAGGACCAGGCCCGATCCCCTTGATTCATGAATTATCTAAGCATTGTCTTATAGAGAGGATATTATTATTCCATGCTGATGTTATTTCTTGGATGTTTCATATCAATGTTTTAAAACACTGTTTTTGTTGGATTTTGTCAACCCTTTTTGAATTTTATTCATAAACTAAAAGAGTTATGGAAATATTTTCGGTTATTAGAGAAGCCACCAGTAATGGTGCTGAGGATCTAAGTCATTGCCACTTTACACTTATCCGCGTTCAAAACAAATAACAGATCTGGTTCAACTGTATCTGTTTCTTTGAAAATGATTCTCAAGCTAACATGTTTTGTTTTGAAGCCCAAAGGGCCAGTGTGATGCAAATTTCTCAAGATTACGTCCATCCTCTAGGCACCAAACTGTCCAAATAATTCTGAGTCATGGAATCTGCTAGATGGTTGAGAACAGGCTATTGAGGTTCTCAACAAGGTTGATCAGGAGTTCTTATACCCCTTATACAGGCCCACCCATCGATTTCTGACACCGATATGTTGTCCAAGAACGAACTATATATTTCTCGAATTTGTGCAACCTGCAGGAATCAGATTTGGAATATGATGAAGAACCATTCCTTGAAAGCTCTTGAAATCTTGGTTTTCATTTTTATAGCATACAAGGCATCCAAGGAAACCCAACAAGAGATTCCTTTTCTTTTAGGGTTTCATTATCATCGAATTAAGGGGATACTATAGACCCTTGGAGATGTTGATAAAATATACAAAATTTCATAACCTCTATTTGAATACGTCCGGATATCTATGGTCAGTAAAAGTACCTGCTCAGATAAAACTCCAGACAGGCCAATGAATGCTCCTGGCTTCGCATAGGCAGTTATATGGCTTGCTAAGTCTCGTAAAGGATTTAAAAGTAGGTTTGCAATGACAATGTCATACTTCGCAGTTTCAGCCATAATATCGCCATCACATGGATTCTCCCCCATAGCATTTTCTATTCCAACTGACGAAGGCATGGGGACTTTGAACTTGGACTGGTAGAAATGCATTTGGTCAGGTTCAATGTTATTCAATGCAGCATTCCGGTGAGCTGATGTTATTGCCTGAGGATCGATATCAACTCCAACAGCTAATGCAGCACCCATCTGCATCAATAATAGCCCTTCAGTTGAAAATTTCTCCCTAACCAATTTAATGGAACTTAACAAAAAGACCAGAATGTTTACTAGTTTTAAGTTTGAGCCATATAAATGTTAGCCATTCTACAGCAGAGCTGTTTGCAGAAAACACTATGTAATTCTGCTGCAAGCAAACCCATCACTGTACCTATAAGGAAAACTTCATTGTTTTGGTGTTGATATGAATTTATCATTAGGAAAAAAATGAAGCTAGGATGCATAAAGTGAAATATTCACTAAGAAAACAATGAAGGCCAAGGATGCATCACGGGCATAACATAAATGCCTGTAAAAATTTTGAAGGACCAAAAAACATGTACAAAATCACACAACTGTTTACAAAACATGATAATTTTATCATATGTCAACCAACAAATTGAGTGTCATATGAGGAAGTTTGATGAACTGGGATAAAAGCAATTCACATAAATCAAAAGATCGTGCAGATCACCTAGACCAATAAACTGCATGTTGGTAGCACCAAGAATGAATGTTGAGAATTTCAAAATTTGGGGACCTGGCAATATTGATAAGCATATGCACAATATCCTAGGTTCAAATTCCACCTTCAGCTTACTGAAAAAAACTTTAACTTGTCAGCAATATCTAGCTATAAACTAACATCACCTTTATTGCTGCAATTCCAAGAATCCCAGAACCAGTGCCATAATCCAGGACATGTTCTCCACCCTTTATCAACTCATGCAACAATAAAAGGCAAAGTCTGGTTGTTGGGTGTTCTCCAGTACCGAATGCCAATCCTGGATTGATAATTATATTTGTTGCTTGAATATCCTACCATAAATTAAGAACAAAGTAGAAATATAACAAATTCTAGTAAACTTCAGTAGGTGAAATATTAAAGGAAAACTATTTCCATACACCCTATTTTTAAGTTTCATTTCTCAACAGACCCAAAGTCAAGTCATATCTGGAGGCATAGAGATTGCATCTATTATTTTTTTAACCCCCTGGACCAACTTTGCCCACTTTGATCCATCTTTTTAGCCCAAACAGATGTTAAAAAGACATGCCTCTCTAAACCCCTTCTCTCCCTTCCCCTGTTTCTCCCCAAACTTCTCTCTCTTTCTCCCTGTGATTTAGGCGTGTACGGAGAGAGAGAGAGAGAGAGAGAGAGAGAGAGAGAGAGAGAGAAGTAAGTAGAGAAGAACGAGAGAAGAGAGAGAAGGTAAGGTAGAGTGTGTTACTTAATAGTGT